TATGTTGGTCTGGAGTTGGAGATTCGTCTCCAGCTGTGCTGGTCAAACTCTCTGCCTCCGGGCAGAGAGGATCCCCAGGCGAGGCTATCTTGAAGAGCAGTCTTGTCTATTGAAACAGCTACCCAAACCTGTTTTATACGGGGTCTACAGGGAATTTTTGGCCAAACATATGGGCTCAGATATCCCACATTAATTTGGCCTTATGCCACATCTGAGTGCTAGGGCCAGTTGGGAGATATCCTGCAGTTGCAGATTCATTTTGGAATTCACTTGACTCACTTGTAGCAGTTGACTACTACTACAAACCACTGGTGAATCTTATGTGTTGTACGTATCCTAAGTAGTATTGTTCATTTGAATATTCTATTCAGTAACCTTCCCTAGGTTACAACATTTATATTAACATAGTTCAGTACCCGTCATTTCAATGAGGACAAGATAAAATTTCAAATCTAAATTGTTTATCCTTTTAAGATACTACATTTATTAGATAACATATTCAGTTTAAATACAGGAGGTCATAAAAGACTTCAAAGAGTCTAATATTTTTGTTTATGCTCTTTCCTGATGCCCATAGTGTTGTTGCCAGACAGGGAAAGTTATCCCTTGTGATGCATTTGTTTCATCCAAAGGGTGGTGTGTATGTATGTTTGCATGTATGTACTTGTCTTTTAATTCAATGAGAGACCTAAAAATACTTCTACAAAATTTAAACAAAGAAAATTTGTTTACTGAATAATTTCCAAAAAGTTCAATAAAATTATGTAATTATCAGATTTTTTTTTTTTTTTTTCTTGTTGCCAAACTTATTTTATTGCTCAATCCAGGGTAGTGGTTGTCCAGACTGAGTGGAAGGGAAAGGTATTATTCTATCTTATTTCAAACTTAGTTAAATTGTGTGTGCAAGTACTTTTGTAGATATAAAATGGCACACACACACAATATGATTTCTCACACATCCTCAGGAGATTGACTGCTTTTCCTTTTAAGTCAATTTGATTACCAGGGTTTCCGCGTAATTTTGCCTCCAGTCCATCTTTGAGTAAACTTAATTGCCAGAGTTTTCAGGCTTCCTGTCTCCAGCTCACCTTTGAATTGGAAAACATAAAATGTTGTTAATGATTTTAGATAATCATAAAAGTAGAGTCCTTTGAAAAACTGACCATCCATCCAGCTTTTGGGTGGTCCTACTTTTCCAGAACACAAGTGGATGGATAATGGGGGTAGGTTCCCAGCCAGTATCCATATACACAGAGAGAAGCAGGAAGTCAGCAGTAGGTGACAAGCAGCCAGTGAGGAAGGGATCAGCGAGCATTAGGAAATCAACATTTGCCTAGATGGTCAGTGAATGTAAAGGTTACCTTTCTATGGCTGGATGTTAGAGATAGCAGTTCACTTTGACGAAGCCAAAAAAGACTTGGACGATTAAGTGAGAAATCATATTGTTGCTATTTCTCAACCAGTTTCTTGAAAAGCATTTGTCACTGAGTTTGACCACAGCCAAGGAGACAAACCTGTGAACATAATGAATTAGGTGTATATGCAGGCAGAGCCGACTTTGGATGTCATCACAGATTGTACAGTGATGATGAGCAGAGTACAATGTCACGCATGTAAGTCAAAGACATATGCATTACATACATGCAACATCACATGCAATCAGAGAACCAGCTCTTCCCATCTTTACATGAGGTTATATATTTGTAAAATATTGAATTCATACTAAATACCCCAGCTTTTAAATTACACTATGCTTAACTTTTAATTCTTCCTTGAAGATATTTTCATTTTACAAAGACGACACTTTCTTGAAAATATCTAATTTTGTTTATCCTCTGTTTAGTGTTAATAACTTCTGGCAGAAAATAAATTGCTATGATTTTTTCTTCTTTTTAAGTTTTTACTAGATCTAAAATCAGACAACTATTTTATTTAAATATTTAAGCTAACAGTAAAGTCATTTGGTTCCAAGTTCATTTGATTGGGTTTATCTTATAGACTAATCCAGGGATTCCCAAACTTTTTGCATCATCACCCACTTTTACATGGAAAAATTTTCCACTGTCCAACTGTATAGTAAATACTAAAAAGCATACAAAAATTGCTTGGTAAAGGTTAGTTTCTGGTTCATAAACTAACTTTATGATGTTGTTAAAAAAAAAAAAAAAAAAAATACCAAAGGGAGATAACAAATAATGCTGATTTATGTGGCAGCCTCAGCTGCTGCTGCTACTACTACTACTGTATTAAAGAATAAGCGAAAGCAAACTTGACCACTGAAAAGTGTGTGTGTATATATATATATATATATATATATATGTGTGTGTATATATATATATATATATATAGTACACTTGAACCTACATAAATTATTAAAGATGGTTTAAAAACAACCTTATCCCAACTTTCCATTTCCAATATAGATCATTCTATATAGTCTACCCCCTCCCACCACCTCTGTCACCTTATATCAATCTAAAACTATCCTTCAAAAATTTGTATGAAAAATAAAAGAAACCAAATTTCTTTGTAACTAGAGATATGATCTGATGAACCAGGAAAAATATATTTTCTGAGGAAATATATTAGTCATGGAACCTTAAGGTTGTCTCTTTCTTTAATTAATATTTGCTCTGGTGTTACATGGAGCTCTCTGGATTACATCCTCTTTGGAATTATCCACACGGATTATCAAACCCTTCATTACCTTACTTTTTTTATTTATATATATATATATATATATATATATATATATATATATATATATGGTTAGAATTAATATAGCTGGTGTTGACATAAAATTAAATGATTTTTGCTGATAATTATAAAATTAAAAAAATACACTATTAGCAACTAATAAAAATTCAGCAACTATTTTTGTTGTTCTTGGTCTTCTTTTATGTTACTTAGTGTGAAGAACTGTTTGAATGTTAATGACCCTTCTCAAAACTATAGAAAATACAAAAATATTCTGTTTGCAGCGATATCTTTAACTTATCTAGGAATGTGACCCAGTTATTTTCAATTAGCCTTTTTTTTTTTTTTTTTTTTTCTGAGTAACACATACCTTTTTAATACTCAAAATCCTATATTGCCCACCATTTCCTGTTTAGTTTCTCATCGCCCACCCAACAGTTTAAATTGATCCCCGGTGGACAATACCACGCCAATTAGGAAAACCCAGCTTTAAACATATTTAGTGACATGTGTTTGAGTAAAACACCTCTATTTTAAATAGTGTAGATTTATGTCTACCAGTCTGTGCATTCTAGAGTCTTAATAATAAAAAAAAAATAATGTGCCTTCTTTAAAAGGGTAATTGAATCTTGCTTGACTGTGTAAGCTTTCTGAGGCTGAGCAGTCTAAAGCATACTGAGCCAGATGGTAGTTTCTCCTACAAAGGAAACACCAGTTCAAATCCTGCTGGCAAGCACATTTTCTTTATTAAAAATCTCAAATGCACAAGAGTAGATATAAATTTGTACTGTTTAAAATGGGGATGTCTACTCAAACACATGTGTTCACTAAAATAACATTTAAAGTAATAAGGAAAATATTAGACTAAATAAAATTCATTGATTCCTTAGAAATTATAGCTTTTTTTGTTTTTTTTTTACCTTTTGCATTTATTCTTCCATTTACATTACTTAAACATTTACTATTTTCAGCTCAATGAAATGGGTTTTAGCAAATCTTTCGATTTCAAATTCCCTGTTCACAAAAATAAATATGGCAGTAAAATATATTTTTATATAAAATTTTATTTAAATTCACCCTTGTATTGAAGTCATTATTTAATAAAAAAAAATATATGGACATATCGTCCTTTCATTTTTTTTTTTTTTATTACAATATTTGCATGATAGCAGAATACAGTTATAATCAGTCATAATTTTAATACCTTTCATTTTTAAAATTATTTTTTATATATAGATGGGATTCACAGCCAATCTGGAAATCGGGAATTTTTTTTTTTTTTTTTTGTTGTTTTCCAGTCAACTTTGATATTGCGTTTAAATTTTTGAAGATCAATCATCATCTTCTGTCTCTTTGAATCCTTTTCTTTTATTGTCTGCTCTCCTTAATGATTTTTCTTAGATTCTTTCATACTACTTGCATCTTAGTGGCTTTGCCTTGCTTGGGGTGAAATCAGAATTGAAAAATAGTCAGTTTAAAAAAAAAAAAAATATCAGGGAATTTTGGTTTAATGTCACAGAAATCTGTTTACATTTTGATAGTTATTCGTGATGTTTTGTAAAATGAATAAAACTTGAATGTCTCTTTGCACATTCATTTTTCAACTTTGCTCTGACACAGCTATATACTTACTACTTTCTGTTATGTAATGTCCCAAAATCAAGGAATTTCAATGGAAATCAGGTAATCTTATTCAATAATTTGGTTGGGAACTTTGATATATTTTTTACATAATGAGGTGCTTTCAAAACAGAAAATTTTACTATAAAAATAAAATTTACTTAACACCTATTTTCCACTGTATTTTTTTTTTTCATAACAATCAGCTTCAGCATGTTTGTATCAACCTCAAAAAGCATGCATTACACTCCTTGTTTAAATTCCCCAAATGTTAGGGTCACATGTCTTATGTATACATATATATGCACAAGTTAGTTTTGAAATCCTGCAAAAGGTAAAAATGGATGTGACATAGTTTAACAATAAATATAAAAATTACTATTAGGTTAGAACTAAAGTGCATAGGATTTTTTATATTGGTGGTGTTTCAGCCTGTGATTTTTGTCATACGTAACTGAAATTTATTACATATATACATCTTTTCAATACAGACTTTCTGTATAGTCTGCATTTTAAATTTTAAAGGTTTTTACATTAAAAGAAAGACTAGAGGAAATGATACATTTTCATCACTTGGTGCTCATTTAAAAAAAAAAAAAAGCTCTACAAACAGCAAAAAATGATAAATGCCATTTATGGAGATGGTGCCATAGCTCAAAGTACTGTTCCTAAGTGGGCTTATGGCCATATGTTGTAACACCAGCTCCTGCACAAACACTGAAGTTAAGGAAGGTTGAGCCTAGTCAGTACCTAGATGGGTGACTGACTGGGAATACCAGTTGCTGTAAGCTTAGATGTGTGAGTAGTATAATGGATAATGGCTCGAAATTGTTAATCAGAGAGCAGAGTTCCAGTTCCAATTGTGTTCATTATATTCACTCACATGCAAAATACCCTTGGGGGAAAAGTAAGAATCCATGTCTCCCCCCCACCAGCTATGGCTTAATTAATTAGTAAGGCTTGCCTCACTAAATCATTCTTATCTAAAAAAAAAAAAAAAAATTTTAAATCTAAAAATATTTTTTGGCTTTAAATAACCTGCAAATAGTTGATAAGCTGTAGAAAATAAATCAGTCATGTTCAGAAGTGGCTTACTTGGTTTAGAAGTGAAAATGGGAATCTGGAAAACCAAGAATGTTGTAGTTGATCAAACCAAAATACTGATTAAAAATAATCCAGGCGACATGACAACATAGAGATACTCCACATAGCTTATCTGAGATTTGTCAGGTATTTGAAAACATGTATTTATGTGAATCGCTAAATTCTCTCAGGATTTAACAGGGAAAAAATTAATGAACCACATTTCCATTTGTGATTCTTTGCTGAAATGCAAAAAAAAAAAAAAAAAATCATTTTTTTAAAAGAATAATCATAACAATGTGCCCCTCCTCCCCGCCAAAAAAAATGACCTGGGGGGAAAACGAAACAAGCCATCATTAACCACTCCAAAAGTCAATCTAAATCCTAAGAACATGATGCTGTGTAACTGGTAGGCTTGTCAAAGCATTGTGTATTACAAACACCTGCAAAATTAGAAGTTGAATTCAGACAGATGTTCTTTCCAGTTGAACTGATTGAAGCAGTGTCCGGAATTGACCAAGTGAAAGAATTTCATCTTCCATCATGATAACACCAGACTTTATATTTCTTTGCAAATCCAGAAGTTGGTACCGCTTAATTGGAATATCCTATTACACTTGTTGTACTCACCTGTTCTTCCATTTTCCAGTTACCATTTATTTTGAACCCTACAAAATTCTCTTAACCTTTAGCACTCTGCATTATTAATATTACTTCCCCTTCCACTGCATTCTTTTTCAAGGCCTCTCAATTGCAGTATCCTTTTTGTTAATTCTACTCAAACTTGTTTTCTGTTGCCATAGAAGAATATGACAACACAATTATGAAATTCAATAACACTGTTGTTCAGGGATCAGAATCACTATCTGTGACAGGATAAGCCTTTTGTACAACAAATGAAGTCATAAACAAAATAATAAAAGTTAATAAGAATTTTCCTTTTTTGGAAGCCTGTGAAAGCCACTGAGACTAGCTCATCACCTAAAAAATGTCATGTTTTGGGAGGATAGAATCAAGAAGCTGCTTCAAAACATCAAGTGGCATTTATGGGGCTGACTAAATATATATAAAGTATGTAAATGTTGTTTTTGAAATTTACTTTAAAAAATGCTATGAACTTTTGTTCTGATCTAATATTTTGTGCTTTGTTGGTATCCATATTGTCTTTTTGAATTTTCATGACTAATTTATCCATTTTATTCACTAGTTGTATTTTTATATTTTATTTTAGAAGAACGGCACAAGCGTACCTTCTGGACAACTTTGGCTGGTGGACTTTATGTATGGTTAACATTTGGAATGCTACTAATGGCAGAACTGCTTGACAAGAGATGACATCACTTCCTGTCTAGTTAACAATTTGTTTTTTTCCCTTTTATATATTGATTCAATGCCCAATGATTCTTCCGTCATCATTTAAAATATTTCTCCTTGAAAAGTAATTGTTGTTTTTAACAACTTAAAGATTGAACAAAATTTAAACTTGTGACCATTATCCATCTCAACATAAAATGGAGGATACATACAATGGCAGCAGAAACAACAGCAGCTAAGATGGTGATCCAGACTTCTCACTGAGCAGAAATCCATGAACTCAACAGTTACAATGGAAAAACCAGTGTGTGCACGTATGTGTGCACGCAAGACTTATTTTTTCCACCAATAAAATGTGCCAAAATGGCAGATCAATTTTTTATGGTAATATTCTTCTCTTCTTTGATCATTACTCTCCACAACTGCTTGACCTTTGTAGCCCTGAATAAAGTTTCTTTTTGGTATCTCTCCTAATCCCTGTTCTGCTAACCATTTGCACAAGCACATTAAGTAGGTTTTGTGCTGCTTTTCTCTCTGCCCTGTGAGTGTCAAATTTTTATAGCTCCATTTCTTCATGTGTCCTAGAAATTTCAGTTCTCTCTGATTCTAAGTATAAGTACATATTTTGTTTCCATTTTCTCTAAGACTTTGTTGTTTGTTTATGTGTTCTGTCCATGGCATCCTCAGCATCCTTCTGTATATCCTCATTTCTGTTGCCACCAGTCTTTCCTCTATTAGCCAGTTTTTTCCTCTAAATGTAATAGATGATAAAATGATCACTTTTACTTGTATATAATCTTGATAAAATTTTATATATAAAATTTTTTGAAATTTATATAAAAATTATAATCTTTTCAAAGATTTTTACAGAAATAGGTTTTTAATTTTTTCCTTTTAAACAAATTTTATGTAAAAACAAATGTTCTATGAGATATCAGCTTATGACAATATCACATTGAATGACCTGTTCTTATATGTTGACCAAAATTAAGCAAGGTTGAAGACAATGAATCAGACTAAGCATGACCAATCTCAAAGACTCCAATTGTGTAACAAGCAGATAATGATTACAATAGATGTTAAGTTTATTCAGTGGATGAAGACGGCTATGAATGATAGACATGCTACACTCAAAACTATAACAAAGTCACCAGCAGATTGTTACAGTTTCATAGTTTTACAGTTTTCATAGCTAGATTCTGCATGTTTTCATTCCATATGTGCCACAGAAGAAGATCATGAAATCAAGTGTATGAGTCACTTTCTATTAAGTTGAGGTTCACCTTAAACAAATTCACACCATTGGCATTTCCTTCTACTCAGACAGCAATTGAATCTAGTGCAGTTAGGACTGTCGGATTGGGAAATGTAGTTTTAACAAGAAGGATCAAGCTCTGGTGGATTAAAAAGAATGTCTGTGAAGAATATGATCACAGAATTGTGTCCAAGAAGTCTTTGGAATAAATGATATTTGACTACAAATGAAGACATCTATATAGAATTTTGTGATTACTAACAGAAGGATATTGAGGATATCATGGACTGAACATGTGAGCAATGACAAAGTTTTAGAGAAAATGGAAACAAAAAGGCATCCTACTTAATATCAGGAAGAGACAGTAGAGGTTTCTGGGACATATGAGGAAAGGGAGCTTTGAAAATGTGATACACATGGGACAGAGGAAAACAAAACATCTCAAGGTCATTAAGTATATTAATACTTAATGATCTTGAGTAAATGAAGAAATAAAATAAAAACAAAATTTATTAAGAGCTACAAAGGACAGGAAGTTGTGGAGAACCATGATCACTTACGTCCTGAGGGGACAACATAAAGAGATTTTCACTGTGATTGTACTTAGTTCTACTCAGTCCAACATCTATTTAGTTGACTTTTCTTCATATGACTGATGAGAGGGTCAAATAACAAAAGATTAGATTCTGGAAGCGTTGAAGAAGTTCCAAATGGACAATTAACCCAGGGTTGATGGTCTCCCTTAGGAAATGTACTTTAAAGTTATCGCACATGTTTATCCCATTGATACTGATCTTCAACAACTGAATGAAGAAGAGGTGTATTTCCTAACGCTTCATCAACTGGTGAAGTTGCCATTTGTTTAATTATTAATTTTACTTCCTTAACAGTGTTAAAAAAACATTACTTATTGTGGAATGGAGGTAATAGTTTGGTTAATATATTAGCACACCGATTATAGGCTGTGCTGGATCATCTGATAGCCCCTAAACAAACGTGCACTGTGTAGGTGTACGGTTATCCAAGATAACCAGCAATTTGGTGCATATAATCCAAAGGAAATGTAACAAACTAGGCTGATCAATTTAGATCAATCCAAGGCAGTTGACCATCATTTCCTGGAGACTGGTTTCTCACAAACGTCTTTAAGCCGTTCACTCCTGAATATACTGACTTTATGTAAATCTAGTGCCATGGTGGAGCTGAATGCAGTAGCTCTGAAGCCTTTCTAGATCTGTTTTGAGATAGTTTTGTACTGGGAGGAAAGTAAAAGGGTATTTATCCGCATGCCCAGATCAAACGGGACGTGGCATAAGACCAAGTGTTTCAGGATTTAAAAACTTTTTGATATGAGGTGTATGGACGTTTTATAGTGAATGTTTATGGGCTCCTGAAATATTTGTCCTGCAAGGAATATTGGCGGACTCATGTGAGTCCGGGTAAAAATAAGTAAACAAAATATAGAATTTAAAACAAATGACAATGCCTGTCTATATTTCTGAGATGAGGTATTATGTACATTATTTACATTATTCGGACTATTGTCCTCATCTTTGTCACCATATTTATTACAACGTTTCGGCCATTGTACGCTCCGGCCTTCTTCAGGTGGTTGGAATGCTAGGCCATAAAAATCTCCTGAGCCGACCAAGCATAGAAATAAATACAATATGGGAACCAGTAATAAGGAGTGTCAGAGAAAAGCAATGATAACAACAAAGTTGCAATATGAGCACTGGTAAAAATCGTAGAGAAGACATTAGGTTTATAATACCCAGAAATTCATACTCAGATGTCCTCAAGGACAGTGGATAAAGGCGTTGGTTAGATCCTGTAACAGGAAGTGTGTGAGTTCAATACCCGGTTAATACTCTGAACTTTCAGAGGGAAATTAACAGGAGATAACTGATAACTGACATCCATCAAACATGGCACGTGGAACTAGAACAGTCTAGAACAGAGCATTCGACATTACAACCACCTGAAGAAGGCTGAAGCGTACGGTCGAAACGTTGTAATAAATATGGTGACAAGTCCGAATAATGTAAATGCATGTTATTAACTAAAGGAATTACATGTGGGCACAATTGAAATCAATCTATAAGAATGTGTGTGTGTGTGTGATACACGTGCGTATGAACAAGAGTTCAGTCAACAGAGGACCAAGGAAGCGAACGCCCCCTAGCGGCGGCAGCAGCGTTCTTTAACTACGTTTTACTACATCTGGAAGTAAGATGATAAGAGAAAGAGAGGGGGAATATGTTTTCTTTTTTATAGAGCGCCACCTAATAGGCGTTTTTGGCAAAGACAAATGGGGTAACCTACACGGATCCAGTGTTCAAAAACAGTTCCCTAGACACTTCCTCTTTTGGCAATCCCTCAGGCATCTGAGGGAAAAGCATTACTCGGGAAGACGGGACACTGAAACTGAATTTAATAAAGTTAATGAATGTGTACCTCTCGGACCAAAAGGCCGAGATGCTAAAGCATTTATACGAATATGAGCCTTTAACTTGGAATAAAATTATTTCACACTATTTCTCCATAAAGTGAATCTGACTTTTAGGTGAGTGTAACATAAAATATTTCTGAATAGATACCATTTTTTAAACACTTATCGTGTTTGTATTTTCAGTGAAACGAATTGAAAAGATTTATGCTTCATCCACTGAAAAAGAACAATTACTATATTTTAACATTGGAAAAACAGAAGATTCAAAATATATTCCACTGCTCAGCCACCAATCGTAAATATTGGGTAGTGAGAAATTTCACAAATTTCAAAATATTAACTAGAATTTTTTGTAACAAGCTGACGCATGTTAAAATCCTCACAGTATTTAGTATTGTTGAAATTATTGCTAACATTTTTGTAGAGATTTACAAACTCTACATTTCGTCCAATTTCGCAAACCAATCGATGAAATTTGAATAAGCTGATTTGTTTGGAAAAATACTTTGACAAAAACCCTACTTCACGGTTTAATAATTTCTTTAATTTAATTTTATAGGACTTCATGCTAAACAATATTTTTTTTTAAGAAAATTTATTTTTTCCTCTTTTAACAGCAAAGAATAAATTCTTAGGATTTCTTACTCTTGAGCTTGCATCATACAACTAGCCATGCGTAATTATTTCTTTCTGGAGCAAAATTCCAACTTTTTAAAGTGTTTGCCTTGTGATTTGTTCATAGTTCTTGCAAATACAGGGCGAGCTGGAAACTGGATTCTTGTATATATAAAAACTTAAGTAAAGATATGCAAAAAAAAAAAAAAAAAAATAAGTATTTGTTATTTTAATCATTAAATTGTTTTAAAATAGTGAGAGTATTTTGTATGCTAAATAATAAAACTTAATTTTTCCAAAAAGATTAATGAAAATTTATTGTACTAAGTACCCTAGTAAAACCAACTGTACTTTGTACCCCTTTACCTGTTTGCACTTCTCCCCTAAATTTGTTTTCGATTGGTCAATGTATGGCTATTTTAGAGGGTGTGACGGATCGATAGACTAACAGAACTCAGAGAATTATATATATATATTTTCTATAAAGTTTTTCAGTTTTGCTATAATTAAAAAAAAATAACGTCTAATCCTTCAGCCAGTCAGCTCGAGATGTCACTCGAGGTTAGTATCATTCACTCGTGTCATTCGTGCAACAGTCATCCATTTTTCAGCAAAGTACCCCCTGGGAAAGGCATGAATACTCTACTTCTTCCCCTAGCTATGGGTAAATAGCAGGACAGACCGGATTCTATAGCCTTA